TCAACTTTTTCTTTTAAAGAACAATTTTCTTNTAATTTATGTTTCTTTTTAAGAATAAAATGACTAAGAGCGAGTCTTTCAAATTTTTCTAAAATTTCATCATAAGAGGAAGATAAATCATCATATGAGAATTTTTCAATAGAATTTATCTCATTATCGATATTCATGAAGCACATGTTGGCGATTTCTTCTTGACTTTTCTTTTTATCGCGATCATCATCGTCGCTTTCATCCCAGTTGCTTGGAGTGCTTTTTCTGAAATTTTTTATTTTTATTTGGACACTTGGTTCTCTTGTGACCGAGTTTATCAAAATCATAGCAAACATTTTTTTTTGCTTCTTTCATCGCTATTTTCTTCTTTCTTTTGAAACTTTCAATTATTTCGAAAGTTTCTCCATTTTTGTAGAAGAAGTACAAGACCATCAAGCTCTTCATCACTCATATGTCCACTTGTAGTTCCTTCTTCAATTGTCGATTTGAGAGCAATTTGACGCCTATGAGGCTCTTTGGATTCTTCCTTGTCTTCTCCTTAGTTTCAGCGTTATTGAGCTCGTATGTCGTCAAAAATCCATAGAGTTCCTCCAAAGAATAATTGTTGATATCTTTGGTGTTTTCTATCGACATTCTCAATGAGTTCCAATCTTTCGAAAGTGACCTAAGCATTTTACTTACAAACTCACTGTTAGTAAGTTTACGATCAAAGCTTTTGAGACCATTAACAATATAGGTGAAGCGAGTAATCATGTCAACAATGTGTTCGTCTTGTTTCATAAAAAAAATTCAAGTTCTTTGACCAAGAGATTAATCTTGGTTTCTTTTACCTTGTTTGTGCTAACATGAGTGACTTCTAAAGCATACCATATATCATATGTGGAGTCACATGTACTAATACGGTTAAACTCATTTCTATCTAAGGTACAATAAAGTAGGCTTTTGGCTCTAGCATTCAAGGATAATTTTCTTTTATTATCTTCATCATATTCCTCTCTAGGTTTAGGAATAGATTGCGGATTTTCTATCAATTTTAATAATTTTGGTGGGCACATAAAGACCATATTCAATGACTTCCCAAATATTATAATCTATTGATTGAATGTAAATCATCATTTTAGTTTTCCAATAATTATAATGTGTGCCATGCCATCAAAGAAGGGAGGTCGATTTGTGGAATACCCCTCGAGATTTCGAAGAATGTTGTGGTTAGCCATTGCTCGAGATTGTAAAATCTCTATTTTAAAATGAGCACCTTGCTCTGATACCAATTCATAGCCCAAGAATAACTAATCAAGAGGGGGGTGAATTGGTTTAAAACTTTTTCGAAGAATTAATCTAAATTCAAGTAAGTAAAGAATAAATATATTAATTCAAATAATAAGCACAAATATAAAAGCGATAAGTAAAATGGAGAGATGATGCAAACGATATAATTGTGGAAGTTCGAACCAAAGTAATGATCTACGTCCTCCATTACCAAGCTCTTCGACACGAGCAATGCATTTTCACTATGTTGATTGGTATTGGTGCAATCAAACCCTTTACAACGCTTCCGATAACTTACAAACAAGGAGCACCGATCCTTATACAATGTTGAGCTTTACGGAACCTCAACATGACCCACAAGTTTAAAGAAAATTGAATTTACAAATTGAAACTTCTTTCTTAATAAATGATATTATCACAATTAAGTACCAAAAGAGATAGGCTAACACTATAATAGATAGCAATGAATAAAGTTCAAGTGTTAGGTATGCAAAACTTTGATATGTAGAATGATTTTCAAGAGTTAATTTGATCAAAAGTTTNCAAGAGTGTAATAGGCTAACACTTTATTAGATAGCAATGAATGCAGCTTAAGTGTTAGGTATGAAAAACCTTGATGGGGAAAATGATTTTCAAGAGTTAATTTGATCAAAAGTTTTTCAAGACTAAAATAATTTGATAATAAATGATATGATCAATCAATGCAATTTTGTTCAAAAGAATCTCACTTGAATGCTCTTGAATGTGTGCATTTGAATGAAAAATGAAGTGACATTTATAGCAGTCAAAACGTCAAAAATTATGTCCAACCGGATGACCCATACCGAACGTCCACCACTGTATCGGACGACCGTCACTTTATCGAACGACGAAACTAGCTGTTGAGCGTCGAAATCAGAACGGTTAAAATTTTGACTGTCGGGACACCAGACGTCCGCCAGACTCACCGGATGTCCTCTAGAGCAGAAATCTTAGATTTACTATTTTCTTGATAATTTTTGCAAGTGTACATGCTTAAAGAACATATTTACTTAACTTTTCAAAATGAGTATTATTGGTACATAATTTAAAAGTCAAGTGGAGATTTTTGTCATATTGAAAATAATTTTCTATGCAAGCGTTTTTGTAAAAAGTTTATCTCGTACATAAAAATTTGTTTTACGAGTTTGTAGTGATTCATTGCTACGAATTAAAGTGTTTTACCTTTACATATGGATTCAAATAATCTAAGTCTAATGTCTTCGATTGATTTGGCACGAGTGCACGATTTGTTGCTCGATTTTGAATTTCGCACGAGTGCTTGATTTCTCTCAGATTGTTTTGATGCGAGTGCTCGATTTCCATCAAATTCGCAACATGTAATAATGAAGACTCGAATATAATGTTAGAGATAAGAATGATTTGTTTGTTATAATCAAAACTTGAAATCAATCATAGGTCAACGGAGATAATGGGCAAGATAAAAATAACGATCACAAAAACTTAAGATTTACATGGAAAGACCGAAAAAATTACGGGTAGAGAGGAGAATTCACTAATTCAATAATGGAGGATTATAAAGGATCTTTCTAGACCAAACTAATAAGTCGGACAATTGATCAATCTCAATGTTTTGTACACCACAGATTTATAATTATAGAGTCCCTAATACACTAAGAGAATATAATACAATGAAGAGTCTCATATAAGGTAGAGTATTAATATAACAGGTCTAACAAATAATGGAGTATTTGAGTTGGAATATGAGATAAAAAAGGGCCTAAATCGCTAAACGTTCTCCTTATGTGTCTTTGACTCTTTCAAGACCTCTTCAAGTTATACTACCAACTTTTAATAGAACCCCCCAATTAAATTTCCATTAGAATTCGAGTCAAACTAAAATTCTAACATAATCTCTTCTCTCAACCTTTTTCTTGTAAATTGACGGTTATACTTGGTCCCTTCTAAATCGTTTGAATTTTACTTCGATTGTGTTACACGACATAATAATTTACAAGCACATAATGTGGTGAAATATAATTTGATTAAAATTTCTTCAACCATATAAGAAATACTTCCTCACTTCCTTTTGACATCTCATCTATATGTAAAGCATTATATAATTTCATATATTACAAGTCAAATATATATCATCTTGGATGATTCGAAGTGTCTTTTCATGACCAAACGTAATCTTTATTAAACATAGAATATTTACACGTGGAAACTTGTGTCACTTATTAATTAGTAGTTAATATATTATTGCAGTAATCTAAA